TAAAGTCATAGAGCTTCACGCATTTCACCACTGTTAATATAATAATATTTCAGGGACTTCTAACAGTCCGTAACAGTAGTGTTCTTTGTATAATAAAGTCGGAAATGCTGGAGTTTGAAGTTCAGACTCTTCAAATAGTTGTGCTTCAGGCACATCTATAATCTGCGAACAACCCTGCTTCCTAAATGACGCTATTACGCACATATGAGTATACTCACAAAATACGGTTGAGGATTATGCATACTTCTAACCGACGTATTCTACTGAGACATCAATGCACAACAGATATCACCACAGTTCAAGTATTAGTACATTAATATAAAAATACAGGACGAGACTTCGGAAATCTTCACCATTGAAAATCCATACACATCGGTATTGTGCAAGCAATTTCTCTGCTACCATATCCATACACTGGACGAGATAGTGCTGTCTAAATGACACTCGTGGAATATGAATATTTCACACACACAAGTACGGTTCATATCATAGTACTCCTGGCAGCATAGTACTATCGAAACAATGGTCTTGCTAACATTTCTTAGGGGTTGTACAATCCCGTACTTGATATAATTGGGCCATTAAAATTAAATCCAGACCCTTCACATAATGACACTTCAAAGACAAGCATCTTCATCTAGGCACATCATTCGGTACATAACCGTAATACTCTTCAAATGTCGGATCAGTAGGGAGGTCCACGCGCTGGACACGATAATATTTCTCATATAAAACTATTACGGGAACGCTCATACCTCTTATGGTGTAACTCTCTGCATATGATAAAACATTGTGCCATATATCTTATCGACTTGAAGATACATTACTTGACAGTACGGTCGTAAGTTTGTCACTCTTCGAATAATAACGTACCAGGCATCTGAAGACTCCGCAGATATGAGTACGGCATATACTTATTCACTCTTCACAGAATGATATTTCGAGTTATTAATACTTCTCATAGAACGGTATACCTCAAAGGAAGGTATTATTCAAACGACAGTATTATTAACATAACGGTATTACTTGTACACGCGTACCTCATAAAGAATAGTACCACAGATATAGTCGTACTAAGGAAGGCACATAACTGCAGATACAGTGGTACCACATAGCATAATAGCACTCCTGGAAGATCAATACTCAACACAAGAAAGTATTTTCAACATCATCAAACTCCCGCAGTAGCAATACTCTTTAAGTAATAGTATTACAGATGATCCCTAGCATTTGCGCAATTCTGCACGTAATGTAATGAAGTCATTAAACTTACATCAAAACACTTGACATTTCGATAATCCAAGGATAAGCTTCTTCCTCGAGGTATATCTCTTCCCATATAACAGTATTTTTCTTCAAATAACAGTGCATTTGACAAATTAAAACACTCGATACAGAAGTATCCTTCACATAAAAATATTACGCCACATTGTGCACTTTTCATACGATAGCTCTCCGCAAGTGATAGAAGATTAAGCCACATATGTCTTATCACCAATACATCACTTAACACGACTGTATCCACTTCTGCACCATCCAGATAGCGGTGTACCAATTACATGCGCTATCTCCACATATCAGCGCTATACATGCGTGTGTACTCTCTTCATATTGGTATTGCAAATCATGAATACTCACAAACAGACTGTGCTATTTAAATAGGAGTATTATCGACACGACAATATTCTTAACATGTCGGTACTCCTGGCACACACGTACTCTTCCATAAGATAGTATTCTGAATATAATAATATTAATTATGGCACAGGCCAAAACACATAATGGTGCAGCTTAGTATGATAGAACTAATGGTCATGCACAAGGTTCAGCTGCTAGTATTTTCATATAAAAATATCATGAGAATCTCAGGATTGCGGACTATTGAGAATCCAGACACCTTAGTATGGTTTAAGCGGGAGTTCTAGAATATCCATGCAACCCACATAAGAATACTACACGTGCATTTCGGCCCTGCACCAGCGTTAGGAGCGCGAACCAGTATTCTGCAAAGAACAGTATTCTACGCAGCCTTCCGTTTTCGATGTAATGAAACGATAAGCATGTCAGTACTCTGCAAATATGAGTACTACGGACACGTCAGTACCCTTTCTACAGTAAAACTACAGTAATTCCTTACTCGTGATACAGCTATGCTGTCCAATTAACAGTGTCATCCAGGTAACACGGATATTCACGTAATGGTATTCCATGAACATAATCACTTCTAAAGCAATAATACATGGGGAATAAAGGTGGCTCTTCACACATGCGTATATTATTCCTGTTTGATTATATTAGCACATCTGTATGGTCAAGTTATTTAGACTTCAAATAGGTGGCCATCCTGATTAGTAGCCGAAGAAGGGAAATATTTTCATAATGGCTCCAGATAGAAATAACGGAAAAAAGGTCGATGAGAATGTTAAGAAAAAAGAAATTCTAATTAAAGAGTATGACATACAATACAACATATCAACAAGGCTGCAACCACAGAGCCATCCCCCCAAGGATACAGCTGAAAGATCCCTTCAGAATTATGCAGCATCAAAAGACATTTTCACAATACTGGAGGCAAAGAAACAGGTTCAAGATGACGCTCCATAGGAGAATTCTGAAGATACAGAGAGAGGAAAGCATCTTCATAAGAAGAATAAGAAACAAAACGGCATCTTAACCATGCCGCGGAAAAGGGCCATCTTCATAGAAAAAATGACACACAAAAGGACATCTTCACGATGCTGCGGAAAACGTACATCATCGTAGAAAGAGTGCAACACAGGAAAACATCTTCACGATGCCGCGGAAGGAGGGAGCATCCATATAGAACAAATAACACAAAACAATATATTAAGGCTGCCGCCGGAAAATAGCATCATAAGTATGCCGCGGAAGAGAAATATCTTCATAAAAGGAGGGCCTCGCGAAAATATCTTCGCGGTAGCATAGTAGAAAGAAGAGGCATCTTTAAAAAGCACCGAAACAGAAGAATATCATGAATATAACGCGGTAAGGAGGTTCTTCGTAAGGAAGATGCCACACCAACAGGAATTCTCATAATGACGTGGCCCAAAAAACCTCATCAGGGCACCCGAAGAAGAAACTATCGTCAGGAAAGAAATGAAACACAAACAGGAATCTTAATAGTGACACGGCGAAACAAGCCGCCCCTATAAGAATGACGAGCCAGAAAATATATTAGAAGTACAACGCGGTAAAATGAATCTTGCAGAAATGGATGGCCTACAGGGAAAATACACCTCACATTGAGGCACCATAAAAAAAGAGAACTTCATAAAAATGGAACAGGAAATATCATCCTGAAAAAAATGCCACACACAGAAACATCTTCATATTGACGCAACAAGAGCAGTATATCTGTACAGAAATGTAACACAAAGAAGCATTATTATAGTCACATGCCAGATATAAGCATCCTTAGAAAAATGCCACACAGAGAGAAAGCATCATACTACCGCGGCAAAACAGTACGCATCACAGTGACGTAAGACGAGAACAGCGCAGTGACTCGCAGAAAGAGCATCATTAAAATGTAGAAAAATAAAGCATCATGAAAAAACGACACAGAAGAAATGGTCAAAAAAAGGCGGCAGGTAAAGGGATCTTCATAAGAATGCCAGCAAAAGTGGTATCTTCATAAGGATGCTGCGAGGGATGTCATCATAAAGGAATCCTCCAAAAATTCTCGTGAAAGTAATGCGGCAGAAGGGTGTATCCTCATGAAAAAATTAAATAGAGAAATATATATGATGAAGCGAAACGAAACAGCTTGCCTGCGACAGATATAAAACATGAGGGGGTCCCCCCAAGAAATTGATCCACATGAAACAACTCTGACCAGGTTAAGCCACATGAAGCTAGTCGTGGAGAAATTACGCCACATGGGAAGGCGTGCGCGAGGAATTACGCAGTATGGAACAGCGTCCGCGAAAAATTAGCCCAGAGGAAATCACCTTCGCAAGAAACGGAACATGAAGGCACATTTGCAAAATTACGCCACATGGAACGACGTTCACAAAAAATTAAGCCACATGGAAGGGCGTCCGCGAAAACTAGGCCACATGAAACAACGTCCGCGAAAATTATCCCACGTGAAACCACGTTCGCAAAATTCGCCCACATAAACACGCATATATAAGAAAGGAGCTCCATGAAAAAATACTCTCATAAAAATGCTGAAACATGAGAAAAAATACATAGGAATAATGCAACATGCGGGGGGATACTGGTAAAAATATCAAAACATCAAAGAACCCACTCACGAAGAGGATGGGGCATAAGGACGCATTCACAAAGGTAATGTAACTATAAACGAACCCATATAAGCAAAGCGGCTCCTCATTTCACGCTTTACCCATTGGATCTGCATATCTCTATTCCAGTGGACTCATAGGAGTTTCCACAGAAAAGCATAAACCCATTTATACGCTAATGCAGCCCCTCTAATCGTATGTAACATACAATTAAACTTCAATATGAAATTAGAACTCATATTATACCACTTCAGATTCAACAATCCAATACTCCCTTTATATATGCATAGATGAAACCCCTCATGAACAACTGTGTAATTTAAGGGGGCACATCTTTATGCCAAATGAACAATCTTCTAATTTGAAT